GGGGGGGGGGGGGGTTGGATAAAAAGTGCAATGGCCCAATGAATAGATAGCCAATAGTGCTGGAGAGTTTGTCTTGTTTTTACACTATATGATATTTTTACACTATATGATCCATGTCTTGAAAGATGGTCCATCTCTAAAATAAAGTAGCCCCAACAACTAATCTGTACACTAGTACACAGTCACCGCAACATAAATTCCCTTGAGGCTGGAGACCAACTGGGTCCAGACACAAGACCACTCTATGTACAGTCTCTACTTCAACAGTATGTTGTATGCATCTGTATTTGAATAAATTGCACTTTACACAAAATGTTATTAGGTGTGTATTACCTGTTTGCCTCCTCATCAGATGAACTGTCACCTCCAACGTTGTAGAAGTCTGATGAAGACGTAAAATTGTCCACAAATATTGGATATCTCCTCTCCATTTTCTTCGATTTTAATACGTTTTTGGGAACCTACGCCACTACTTCATGTATGTCTATTATTTTGTCTCGTCTATTTTCACTTGCAAAAATATGAAAGAAATTTCTATTTCCGACGACAACAACAACGTATTAAAATCACAACAATAATAACAACAACAATTAAAACAACAACATTATAAACTCAACGGAAATTTTGATAATAATTTCAAAATACTTATTTTACATTTGTTAGTATATTACAAGTCCGTTTTCCTAAAGCCAGGCTAAATCTATAACATGCAATATTTAAGGCGGTAGAGGGATGCCTCTGGGGTCTGTTGCAGGAGGCTCCAGTAAGTTCTTCATCAGTTGATTCAACCATCGCTTTGTGGAAGCATCATCCTTCAAGCAGTTTGCAAACGTTGCATCTTTCAGTTGATCAGGCAGACATTGTCGTAATGCCTCTCTTGCTCTGCAGGAAAGAAGCAACAAATATATGTCAGACATATAAGGCGCACGAAGGGTGGACAATATGGATAGTATAACTTCATTTGTAAGCGTTTATATCATATGTTTATACAGTATGCATGCATGGTATCAAGACAAACCCAATACGATGCAGACGTCCTTTGTGCTTTTTCATGAAGTGTTGATGAGCTTGAGATGTTCCCAATAAGTTCCTTTATAGATTAAGATTCCCGGGCCGTTTGGTCAAAACTGTATTAGCACTAACCTGTCCAACCCTGCCCCTGGGTTAAAATTTAACCTGCTGTTTGGATTGTGTATTTTTTCATGTCCGTTTAATTCAAAACTTTAGAAAATAAAATTTCTGTTTCAAGATTCTGGATAAATATTTCTGTTTGCTAACAAGACGTTGGAAATTTGCTTTGTCCTTGAACAACAGCCCCAGACAATGACGTTCTTATTTTACTCTTTCTAATGCCAAACGATTTTTAATACTTGCCAACGGGAGAGTACTAGCAGTCGATGGGTTAACCAGCAAGCTATCTTGCACGCTATATCATATATATTTTGAAACTAAACGTGTTCACGACCTTACCTAGGGTTGTCAGATAACCTCAGATAACAACGCACTACGTGTTTCAAAAGTCTTGCCGATTGATCCTTGGCTAATGCTAGCACCATTTTACCCTAAGAAAGAAATACACAACTCTGGTTAAAAGAACACGAGTCTTCGCTGTACGTTCAGTGGGGCTTCGGTGGAGCACTCGTCACAACAAGCGCCTTTCACCTCTGAGTTCGTGGGCTCGATTCCCACATGGACTCATGTGAAAAGAGTCAGTCAACGCTCTGCTGAACGTCGTGGGTTTCCTCCGGGCGCTTGGGTTCCCTCCCACAGGGCAAGTTGGCAGGGTGGGTGAGGATAAACACAGTTAGGAAAAGTAATATCACAATTGTTGTAAAGATAAATAGTCTAAGCTAAAGCCCTGGGCAAACTAGGAAACATTGTTGCGGAAACATTGTTTCCTACCAATGTTTCGCCATGTTTCCAAGAGTGGGCAAACACTAGGAAATATTAGTGAGAAACATAGGGAAACATCAAATGTTTCTGAATTCGCTAGGAAGCATTTTTGTTTCTCGGGAAGCAAATTTTGTTTCCGCAACAATGTTTCCACGGGTGGGAACTTTTAGTAACATAAGTAAGTTTTGTCTTTTTTAGTAACATAAGTAAGCGCAAAAACTTGATGTAATCGGTCACTGAAAAGTTCCAATTGGGAGTCAGCTGAATAATAGTAATACTGTAGTAATGTACTGTACTGTATTGTATTGTATTGTATTGTATTGTATTGTATTGTATAATTTTAGCACGTCAAATTATTTCTTACCAGTATCATGGCGACATGCGAGAAACGTTCGTACGTTTGACAAATATAAGAGAGACCCGTCTCGTCTAGCAGTATTTTCTGAAGAATAAACGTAGCCACCTAAAGGTAGAAGCATTTTCAGATATAGATAATTATATGAAATAACAAGATTCAATACAATATTCATGTTGAAGAAAAAGGATTAGGCCTAAGACGTCGACTCCATTCACATACAATACCGCCTTGTGTTAGCTTGTTCGCACTGCTTGTTTCGCACAAGTTGTTGACAAGTCTGGAACAAATTGTTATCATCTTGTAACGGTTGATAAGGCCAACAGACTCGCAACAATTAGTTGTTCCAACTAGTTTGATATCGTCTGCACGTAAAAAGTTGTTAAAAGTTCGAAGCAACTTGTTACGAACAGCCTGTATTAGTCTTGTCGCAACAACTTGTAGCAAGTCTGTTACCGTCATTAACCTTGTAATAAGGTGCTAACTTGTTCCCGACTTAACAAGGTGATAACAACTTGTTCTCGCATGGCTTGTCCCAAGTTGTCAACAAGTTTGGAACAAGCTGTTAACAACTTGTAACAACCTTATTGATATTATC